GGGAAGGAGTGGAGCCTTGGCACCTAGTTGGGCGGTTTTTTGTTTGTTGTGGGGGGGGTAATGTTTTGAGCAGGGTTTATAGCTGCTGTAAGAAAGCAGCAAGTATCCTCAGAAACCTTTGCGAATGTTGTTTTATTTCACTACCTCCTTTGAAATTTCCCCCTAAATTCTAGTCTTAGTAATAAGCAGGGTCCTGGTTTTCTCTGATTTAAAAAAATTAACCCAAAATTCATATTTTTCCATGATCAAAATGAAACGCCCCTATGTATGTATCCATATATTAGTGGCATTTCAGTTTAATCACGGAAGAAACTGGATTTTGGGTTACTTTTTTTTAATTAGAAAATTGGGGATTTTTTTTAATCAGGGAAAACCAGGATCCCTGGTAATGAGTATAGAGCAGGAGTGGGCAAAGTCCAGCCCATGGGCTGGATCAGGCCCATGGCAGACTCTCTTTCCCAGCAGCCCCTGCTTGTGTTGCTGTGGCCGGTTTCCATGGAGACCCCGGGAGCAGCAGCACCACAGGGCCAGGGTTTCCATGGAGACCCGACCCAGCAGCTCTAGTTGGGTGCACAGCTGGGAAGGGAGCTGCTCCAGGGTTGAGATCTGGCAGCAGTGACCACATGGTCTGGAGCTGGGCAGGACTGCTATCCACTGTCCGCACATCTCAGGCAGGGGCATTCAGGCAGCAGACCGTGGCTCTGCCCTGGTTCCAGACCGCACTGTCACCACTACAAGATGCCAGCCCCGGGGCAGCTCCCTGTCCAGCTGCGCACCCTACCAGCACCACTGGGGCTGGTCTCAATGGAAACCCCGGCCTCACACTGTCACGATGCCACCACTACTGTGGTCTCCATGGAAACTGGCTGCAGTGACGTGGGCAGGGATTGCTGGGAAATGGGCTGCCAGCCAGACCTGCCATTTTGCCCACCCCTGGTATCAAGCTTTTCTTTGACAAGTGAATCCTGGGTTCTTTACACACAACCCTCACCATTGCGCAATGCATGAAATTCAAGCTATTGAATATGCACCCATGAAAAACAGCCGTATTTAGTTCGCAGGATAAGTAAGGCTTTTTATCTTCTGTAGGTCACCCACTTGAGGTCAGCTAACAAAGGCATAGTAGCTTGAAAGCTACCGACTTGCTGCAAACCCTCAAACAAGGCTGATGGTATGAGCAAAATCTTCCAGCCATGAAAATTATTCTGAAGCAAGGTCAGTTGTAAGCTTTAAATCAAAATAGCTGTTCCTGAATAATTCCATGTGGGATTCTCTGATTCCAGAAGAAGAGTACTGTTTTCTAGTTTAGATTCACCCACTTACTCTTGAATAACTTAATGTGTAGGTACACCCCTCAGGACAACAGATACTTTTTGTGATGAAGCTTTAGCTCCCTGAAACAAATTGCTTCTCGTAACAAATCTGACCTTCCTAAGGTAGCAGTTTTCTACCTTTGCCACTTCTTATCTCATGTAGCAGGTAGTAAATCCAAATAGTTTTCAGAATGTATGCCTCTGTCATAATTTGCCCACATTGCTCCTTACTCCTTATCCAGCCAATGACAAATTCTGTCAGGTAACCAGTCCCAGTCAGAGACGGGGCATAATTATGTTTTAAAAAAGAACAAAATAAACTGCACTCAGAACATAAGAGGGGACTTAGAATGCCTTTGGGAAAGAACCAATTGCTTTAAATCCCCTTAGAGAAACTTCACGCAAGTGGACATATATTTGATTATAGTAAAGAGAAGACACAGAAAACTTTTTCACAAAGAATTTGTTAAGACTAAGCTGGCAATAGAGACCAGGAAGTATAAGGCTCGCATAAGGCTTATATAAGTATAAGGAAGTATAAGTATAATCTAAGAAGGATTTGAAAGTCCTGAAATAAAATTGGTTTTGATGATAAGTACTTCCTCATGCACTATGAAAAACATCACAGGTTTCTTGCTGAATAGAAAGTGGGCAGCCTCTGTATTGTGTAAAGAGTAAGACTGTATTGGATGACATGTTGCTGTTGATTCAAAATAAAAACTAATGCAGAATTGATCTTTATTTTAGGTTTTGCTCAAGAGGTGTATTCCTCACTTAATTTCAGTGAGAGATGAACTGGCCAGAATTTAGCCAGCTGCACAAAACCATTCTAACCCATTGCTACTGTGAAACTGTCCAGTACACTTGACTGATTTATTGGTGGCAGCCCTTGCAC